CTTTGTTGAATTCCTTGTTTATGTTGTTACATGGTCCCAGATTGCCCTTCTGGAGAGTAAAGCGTGTTAAAAAATGGTAACTAAGGCATAAAAGTGCTGTGTTGCTGAAAAAGGACTATTTGCTTCTATCTGCTACCTATGTATATCTAGGTGTGGTAGAAGCATGTAATAAAATCATATTGTGTTTCACATCATCAGGACTTCTAAAATAATTAAGTTGGGCTGCCCCATATACAAACAAACAAAGTGTTAGCAGTGTAGAGAATGCTATACCAGCATGTTGCACTTTACAGGTCGCTCTGCTGCCTAAAAGGAGATTTCTCCTGCAACACCAGACAAACGTGTTTACAGCTTCTTCCAGACCTGCATACTCATTGCACTCTTACCCAAAAATGTTTTCCTCATCATAGAGGGAATCTGAATAGATGTACCTGAGGTGTGCACTGGAGCCACTTTACTTTCAGGAGCAAGACTGTTGTTCTTGTTACTCCTCCATATATCCAAATAGACTAGTGGAGGGCAAGATATTTTAGGAGATATTTTTAATTGTCAGAGTTTTTGTTTCTTAGTTCTGTTTAGACAGATTTTTAGTGATGCACTTAGAGTTTTGCCTCAGTTGCAGTTGATGAACTGTTGTAATGTAGGATTTCTCAAGTTGTTGGTTGTGGGTTTTTTCCGTAACACATACCATGGCCAAGCAGAGAGGGATTTTCAAGAACTCTGTTTGACAGTGTGAAGCCCGCCTCCTTTCTCATTCAGGGTCACATAACTTCCCTCCAGCATTTGCAGGAACTACTCACAAGGAAAAGTGATGCTAGGAAAACACTATCTTATTTTTAGCTTTCAGTCATCTCTCTCTGCCTTCTATTTTCTCTCAGAACACGAAAAGCACTATGAAATGTGGACTTTTTTTTTTCCTGAGTTCAGCAAGTCACGAGAAGCTTTGACCTGGCCTTGAGTACCTCTGTACCTTTTGCATATAGCTGTGGCATACTCTGGAGGTTGCCTTTTGCCTATGCTTCAGTGGCTGGGAAGCTCTGTGCTAGGCTGGAAGAAATTTTTCCAGGGTATGTTTAATGGAGAATATTTTAAGGGAACCAATGATGCTTCCTTACTTGCTTGAGTGCACACACTCATGAAAATACCAGTGGTTCTCATCACAAGCAGGGAAAATAGGAGGAGGTTTGAATCTGGATCAGGAAATCTGCCTTCTGAGAGATTCAGCTAGGCTTTTACAGCAATGTCTGGCTTTCTGACATCTAGAAAGATGTCAGAAACTTCAAGGTTTCATGAGTTATCTGTTATTTCTGTGATAATAGGAGCTGGGAGAGCTGAGTTTGTTCAGCTTGGAGAATAAAAGGCACTAGAAAGACCTGATAGCAGATATTTGGATTGGATATAAGGAAAAAGATTTTTACAGTGGGGTTGTGAGGCACTGGAACAGGTTGACTGGAGATGTGGTGGATGCCCTGTCCCTGGAGACACTCATGGTCAGGCTGGGGCTCTGAGGAACCTAATCTAGCTGTACATGTCCCTGTTCACTGACAAGGAGTTGGACTATGCGACCTTTAAGTTTCTCTTCCAACTCAAATGATTTTATGATTTTATGAGAGGGAAATACTTGTTTACTGCATATCTCATGTGCCGTGGTACTGAAACAGATCACCATTGAATAAGGTCAGATATTCTTCCTCATTGTTTTGTTTGTTTTTTAATTAGGATTTAACACAAAGCGTTTAGTAAACTTTCACTCAGAGTGAACATTACAGCTGTATTTGCAGTACCTAAATAACTGTAGGAAAGAATCCTTTTTGTTCATGGCTGTGGGGTGGCCCTGCTCAAGGGAAGGAAATGGATGGCTTGAGAGCTTGCAGAGCTGCAAGGTGTACCCTGGGGAGGAAGCTCTGGGCATTTCCAGGGCATAGCAGAGAGACAAAGAAAGCCACAGCACAGGATGAATGGCCTGGGCTTCAGGGAGAACTCACAGTGAAGAGCAGAGATATTATCGCCATTTTTAGGGGATGTAAGGGCTGGAGAATTTTCTTGCAACTTTAAAATTTGATGAGCAGACTAGAATGAAGCCTAGAGGCAAAGACGGAACAGAGAAAAAATGGAGTGGGGTACATTGGGTTTATGTGACAAGAGTTTGGTAGCAGGGCCTGCTGCTCTGCTGCATCAGGCAAGGCTGGGACTGCCCTGTGCTGCACACAGACTGCTCCAGACAGCTTCAGAAGCCCCATTGCAGGGCATGGCTGGGCCCTCAGCCTTGAGGAGAGCAGAGCTCAGAAAGGGCAGAAGTGTCTGGCAGTCAGGAAAAGGGCAAGAAATGGCCTTGCAAGCAGCCTGCAGCCTTTAGAGAGCCCATGCTGCATCAGGGAGAAACGTGAGGAGCGGCAGAGAGGAGCTGCCATGGGGTAGATGGGGTAGTCTGAAATAGAGAAATCACACAAGAGCCGTTTTCCATTGCAAGCCAGGGGGCTTATGTATTATTAGGTAATTTGCAATGCCAAGAAGGACGTGGGGTCCTGGTGGACAAGAGTTAGGCCATGAGCAAACAGCGTGCACTTGCAGCCATGAAAGCCAGTGGATATCCATGGTCCATTAAAACGAGCATGGCCAGCAGATTGAGGGAGGTGATCTTCACCATCTGCTCTCCCTGGTAAGACCTCATGTAGAATACCAGGCTCCCCAGTTCAAAAAAGACAGGGTTCTCCTGGAAGGAGCGCAGCAAAGGGCCACAAGAATGAGCAAGGGCCTGGAGCAGCTCCTGTATGAGGAAAGGCTGAGTAACATGGGTCTGTTCAGCCTGGGGAAAAGATGACTGAGGGAGGCTCTGATCAATGTTTATAAAGATCTAAAGGCAAACGGATGAGGCCGGGCTCTTCTCAGCACTGCATAGCAATAGGACAAGAAATAATGGTCTAAAATCTCAAATGTAGGAAGTTCCATACAAACATGTGGAAGAACTTCTTTACAGTAAGAGTGATGGAACACTGGAACAGGTTACCCAGAGAGCTTGTGGAGTTTCCTTCTATGGAGATATTCAAGTCCTGGGTGGACACCTACCTGTGTGACCTATTGCAGGGTACCTGCTTTATCAGGGGGTTGTACTTGATCTCTTGAGGAACCTTCCAGAAAAGCCCTGCAATTCTGTGATTCTGTAAGTTAAAAGTCTTACTCCAATACACGCAACTGCCTATAGAGTACAAATGTCTACAGAGTACAAAAGCACTTCCCAGCTCCTGGGTGCAGACACGTGCCTCATCTTAACTCCAGCTTATTGGTGGACCGGTGTTATCCTGATACGATTTTACTAACACTAGACCCGTAATAGTAACACATTTTTAATTTTTGAATACACTGTTATTTGCAGGATGCCATCAGTTCCACCCCTGTCTCTTCAAACTATTCATACCAATTTGAGGCTAATCTAAGAATGTTTAAAGGCTGGAAAAAAAAAAAGTGCATGGTTTGCAAATATGCACATGCCTAGGTCCATTTGCCCAGGCACTCTCCTGGAAAAGAATTGTGCAAAGACCAGAAGAAGTAAGCATTAAAGGATAATGTGTAATAAATGTCAGCCAATGAAGTAGTATGAAAAATACATCTTGATGAGTAAATGTCATTGTTTCTTGATAGAGTCACAACTTCAGCCAATAATGAAAAAGAGTTCTTATCACAACATTTTCAGTGTCACTTATAATGCTGATATAAATTTGTATCTTTCCAGAAGTCAGTGGTGGCTTTAGTAAGTAATTTCAAACCTGCTTACTTGAGAATTCAAAGCTGTAATTGCAACCAGTTAACTGATGATCATTGTGATCCACACCATGGTGGAATCCGCTTATGGTGTGCCTCTGCTGAGTACTCATTTTCTCATTTAAATTAAAACAAACTGTTGATGGCAAGAAGTCCTCCAGAGCCCATTTTTTAAATGATGACTGAATTCACCCAGTACATTTATGGTCTGTACCTCACTTGTGTCTTGACCTGTCACCTGTGCTCATTGTTTAATCCCTGGTGGTGGGCTGTAGTGCCCCTTCCTCTGTTTTGAGCTTCTGGGAGGGAGGCAAAAAACGACTATTTTCTAAGCTGAGCTTGAATACACAATATTTAATATACTGTGCAATGAGTCACAGTTGAGCGGGACTTGAGTTACTGTTTTCTGGCAGAAATTGGAAGTAAATGCTCTTTTACTTTTTTGCCTGCAAGCCTGTGACTTCTCAGGAGCAGAGCAGCGCTTGGCTTGGCTCTAGAGTCAGTGGGAGGTAGTGATAGTAGCAGCACCATCCTGCTGAATTCAGAACCTGACTCAGAGTCGTTTCTCTCTCTGTTCAGGGAAGCAGCAGAGAAAACTCTTTCCTCCAGCTGATGCAGACTCTTATTTATGCCTTATATATCGAGATGAGGGTGGTTTTTCTTCCCAGCTTTGATCACAGCCAGAAGGCAACCTGGGTTTTAATTTATATAACAGCAGCCTAACATTAAAACTCAGTCTGTGGACCTGGTCCATATGTTTTAAGTGGATTCAAAAAGTCACCTATTGATTTATGTTATTTTTTTCAGTTTCACCCTCAATACTTACTATTATAATACACAGCTGTCTGCACAAGCTCTTGGAGAAATGTGTGCAAAAACCTGTCTGGAAAAGGATTTTCCACCCTATCAATATTAAGTTGAAAAAACAGATATTGTTAATAGAGGCGAGAGCTCCTTATGCACTGCTTCTATCTCATTTAATTAATAGTCCCTTTTGGGATAAGAAACTGCTATATTAAAATTACAGTAATTATTTGTTATCATTCTGTTTTAGTGACGTGCATCCAGGAAGGTCTGACTCAGTCCACTGGTGGGTAAATCATTACCCAGATGAAAATGTTGCTGTGATTAATGGTTGTCTGATTGTTTCTTGGTTACCTTGTAAAAAGGTCAGTTACTAAGCAGGTTATGTTCAAGAGATACTCCTTTGAGTACAAAGATCTTTGTTCTTCTTCCAGCAGATTTTTAAAAGCATCACCAATGAAGATTCAATCCAGGGACAGGGAAATCGGAGGCTGATAAGTTTTTCATTGTCAGGTAAGGTACTGTTAGTGTGAAATTTCGAAGCCCAGAGTGGGAAAGTGAAATTATTAAAACCCTTAATGTGTGTGTTTATGTGTACATATGTATGGCTGCATGTATATATTTATCCATACACAAGTGTGGTGAGGCACTAGAACAGGCTGCCCAAAGAAGCTGACAGCACATCATCCCTGGAGCTGTTCAAGGCCAAATTGAGTCTTTGGGTGACATAATCTAGTGGATGTCAACCCTGCCCATGTCAAGGGGTTGAATCATAAGGTCCCTTCCAATCCTAGAATCACAGAATCATTAAAATTGGAAAAGACCTCTAAGATCACTAAATGCAACCATAAACCATCACCACCACATCCACTAAACCGTGCCCTAGGTGCCACATCTCCATGTTTCTTCAGCACCTCCAGGGATGTTGACTCCACCACTTCCCTGCACAGACTGTTTCAATGCTTGACCACTTTTTCAGAGAAGGAAGTTGTCCTAATATCCAAGATTAACCACTGTTAGTGCAAATTGTGACCATTACCTTTTCTCCTATCAGTAGTCACTGATCTCCTGTTAGTAGTTGTAGAGAGTGGTAAGGTCTCCCTCGAACCTCCTTTTCTCCAGACTGAACAATCCCAGTTCCCTCAGCTGCTCCTCATAAGACTTGTGCTCCAGACCCAAAAAACAATAAACTGGTGCTTCAGAGCAAAAGGAGATCACTAACTTCTCCAAAACAGATCTGTAGGAATTTTGTTTTCTAAAAGTATTTGCTTCTTTACTGATGGAAGTTGGTCCTGTGAAAGTTAGTTCAAATTAATTAATTAGCAACATTGATCTCAAAGAAGATAATTTCCCATGATTAGGCTTCTTAGTCTTTTATACAACTGTATTATTTCAACTTTCTTTATTTAAAATACTAAGAGAAACATTACAAGCCCAATTTAGTTACATTGAGTACAGCCTTGAAGGAAAATTATTCAGCAACTTTGCATTTAGTTACCAATGAATGTCACTCTTCTGATAAGGAGCTGAAAGTGTCAAAACTCTATTGCATGAGGTACAGAAAGAAGAAATGAACTAAGCTGCCCAAGATGTACCAGCTGCTTCACTGAAAGTTAATTTTATGTGTTATATTTTATGTGTTTATTTTATGTGTTTTAGCAGCAATGTAACAATTGCTGAAAGCCCTGGAAGCCATTCCTTTAGATAGTATATTTAGAAAGTGTTATGATATTTGCATGATATACCTCCTAGCAATGTATCGCATTAAATGACTTTCTTCAAGCTTTCATATTTCACATATCTTATACTTCATATTCACTAAGTGATTTTGTGGAACAAATGACCAGAAGGTCTACACATGTCACAAGGTTACATATGAACCTGAATACTCATAAGACACTCAGTGATCGTTGTTTATTGTTTTGTTGTTGTTTAATTTCTTTTTTTCTGTGGCTTTCAGATCACACATTGAGATAACATAAATTTCCAGGTTTTAGAATTCAGTATCTAAATAATAACTGAAAACAACATTAGGTCACAGTACAATCAATGAATATACAGATGATATAGTATATTTGAGAGCTTGGCTTAGGTGGCTATTATACTAGAGCAGAAAAGGATACTCACCCTATCCTGGGCTCACATAGGAAACTCCCGTGGAACAGATCTCCAAAAGAGATCCTTCTCCACTGTCAGTCAGCTCTTAAATGGTTCTAGGAGAGGTGCAGCCAGGCTCCACACTTCCAGCAGCACAGCTGAATCACCTTCACCTGTGTTCTCATGGCTGACTCAGTGCTCGCCTCAGGTGGTCAGTCAGAGGTTCAGGCCGTGATTCAGCAGCCCCATACAGTCCACTAAAGATTATTTTGAAAAAACACTACATCAAAATGTGGATATAGAACATAGTCTGTCTTCTAAACATTTCTCGAAGTCCTAGTGACCAATTTTCTAACAGGAATCCTAGCTAGTAAATTTTGCTTATTGAATATTACCATAAACCTAACACTTCTGCCCTCCCCCAACTCAAACTGACTTGCCCAAATACGTTCTTTATAAACCCCTAAGTTACTAATCACTCACCTGCTTATTTGGTTTTTTACCTTTGCAGAGGTGAGGTGAATGCTAACCCCTCCAACACACCAGCAGCTAGGTGCTCTAGATTGACGTGCTTAGAGTCTGAAATTAGCTGCTGCATTATCCTGTGGAACACACGTAATCTTACCCTGGGGTATGGAGCTTTGTGTGATATCCGCTATCTAAGACTGGTTCAGAGGAAGATAAGAGGTGGTATTTTGCTCCAGTGGCTGACAGCTTGCAGTGATGAGACCCTCGCTGTTAAACTGTTCAAGTAGCTGTTCAGACTCTTTCTGTGCTTTCTTTCTTGATTAAGGCAATTTTAAAAATAGCCTTTTGGCTATTTATGAATAATTAATTTCTTAATTCCTTTTCATTTATAAATAGACCCGTTTCCTTCCTTACACCTCCACTGCCTCTTCCTCATAGAAACGAGAATCCTTTCCATAGTCCTTTTGTGGCATGTCCTAAATGATTTTTCCCTCTTTTCCACTATCTTTAGTATGTTGTCTGGTTGTCTCATTTGACAAAAATGTTCAGGCTAGTCTATCATGCTTAGTTGGGTTTGTGTTTGTTTGTTTTTTTTTGAACTCAGATCTTTAAGAACCTCCCTGTGTAAAGGTACCAGCCAATGCTCTCTTACTTACATTATTATTTTTCGTACAGGGAAATGCAGTCTATTTATAGATCTGTGGATTTCTGAGAGCAGAAAGAACTGTTTTAATGTCTGTGTAACCTTTTGAATATCACCAGTTGCAGAATCCCATTCAGTAGTTGATTAAGTCAGTAATTTATTGTACGTTATCTTTCTTAATTCCCCTGTATTATTTTGCAGTGTTAGATATAAGTCTTCCTATCGCTGCACATTACTGTTAGATTTTTACAATTCCTTAGTATTCGATTTATTGAAGTTTTATACCACTTGTAATACTGCTTAATTTGTTCTCGTTTCCCATACTGTGAATCTTGTACTACTGCATAAATCAAAATGGTATTTCCAAGTCAGTGCAAAATTGCTGTACTGTGACTGTTGAAATGTTATTTACTACTGGTAGCTGAAATAATCTCTATTCCTTTAAAAGCACATTGCTGAGAGGAGGTACTTCCATGCCTATTGCTGAATCTTGAGCAAGATGAGTTTTATTTTTCCTTCTTCTGATGCCACCTCTATGTCTCACATAGCTCAGCTCAGTGTGTGAACTTGTGCTCTCTGAAAGAGGTGATACTTGTTTTGGTAAAAATCTACACAGAGCTCACTGCAAAAGAAACACTGATGTGTTAGCTGTGACAATTACTTTATCGTACTGATAGACAACTGAATTACCAGTCCTGGTTCAAGTACAGCTATTGAATGTCATAAGCTGAACTGAAAGCTCTTTATTTTACAAAGTTGGAAGGGAAACATCTGTTTGACCTATCAATTGACAACCTAATTATTGTGGTGATGATGTCTGTGGCCTCCAGTGCAAGAAAAATGTGGAGCTGTTGGAGCAGGTCCAGGGAAGGCCTTGAGGGGGGTCAGAGGGCCAGAGCATCTCTGCTGTGAAGAACGGCTGAGGGAGCTGGCTTGCTCAGTCTTGTGAGGAGAAGGCTCTGAGGGGATTTCATTGCAGCCTTACAGTACCTAATGGAAATTTCTAAGCAGGATGACTTTTTACACGGGCAGATAATGATAAGACAAAAAGAAGTGGTCTTAAATGAAAAGAGGGGAGATTTAGATTAGATATGGGTGGTGAGGCACAGGAACAGAGAAGCTGTGGATGCCCCATCCCATAGCTCTTTCCATACCCTATTTGTCACTCTTATTCTCCATTTTTTTTTCTAAGGCACGGATCTAGGCCAGTACTTCACTATATCTGCACTATCCTCACAATTGTTTTGCTTATCACTATGATCAGAGAATCTCCTTGCTGTGCATGACAAAATGTGACTGTCGTGCTCTCTCCTCTGACCTTCAGAAAGTTTAGTCACTTGTACTGAGACATAATCAGACCTGGTAACACAAATAGATTCCAGCTGTGAATTGATTAACGTCCCCATCTAGTTTCATGTTTTCCCACTAAACACACACTGATTTCCAAATTGCCACAAAGATACAATCTTCCTCATTAACTAGTCATCAGTGCCGGAAAGTCCGGGATGCTGTGTGAAAAATGAGTGTACAGAACGAGTCTTTACAGGGCAGACAGGGAAGTGTATGGCCCTGCTTAGGGGCAGAAGCGACATGCCTGCAAATGACCTAGAGCAAAGCTTCCTTTAGTCTGATCGAGATAGCCAGAAATCAGCATGTGTGAAAGGCAAGCCCTGAAGTTGGAACAAACTGATAATTCCCTCGGGGCAGCAGCAGGCAGCACTTGCTGTAAGCCACCTGCATATAGAGAAGTGAGCCTAGCTGGCATAGGATGCACATACTTTTTTAACTGAAAGTCTGTAGCAGTGAAAGAATTGGCAGTTGCTGCCTGTACACCTGGATTGCTTCCTTCCATCAACTTCCATAAGAGAGAGGGCCTCACATTATCAGACTGATAGATCTGTATAACCTTTTTTAGAGACTTATGAACAAATGGGAAACTGACATATGATATATCAATAACTTCTTTAATAAACTGGCTAAAAATATACATTTGAAAAGCATGGGTGAGTTATGTTGGTAGCACGTCCTCATGCCTTCATGAAATACACTAAAACTGCAGTGTACACCAACATAAATCTCAGCCATCTGGATTCATTGGTTTTACCAAGATTTGAATTCTGTTAATCCTAAATATTCAGTATCTTCCGAACCTTTGCTAAAGACAATACAGAGGAGAGAGAAATATTTTCATTTGTGAAAGTGGAACAAATGGTGTTCTGATCAGATGTTACACAGCAGTGGTAAGAGTGTACCTGAGTGTTGTAGTTACAGCAAGTTACAGCATTCGTCACTTGCATTTCAAATTAAATTGATTTCTTCTGCATATACACAGGTGTCAGTGTAGCATTATTCTGAGCTCTTGCATTTTCAAAGCTGATTTTCATGGTGCTCAGAATTTTTTGTGAGATATTTAAGTGCTATTTCCCTACTTGAGAAAGCTACTTCTGCTATCCTTGTGTGCACTGGACATTAAAAACAGAAGGTTCTGATATTTTAACATGATTTACTGTATCGTACAATCTAAGCAAGAAAATGGTGCAGATAAAATTTCTCATGTGCTTAGCTAAAGCATTTTTCTCATGCACATACAAGAATCAGCTTACTAATTAGGGTTAGGAGTACCTTTACCTTCATGACTGTTTATTTCCCAAAAATGAAAAGAGAGTGATAGGTTATCAAAATATATATATATATATTTTTAATGATACCTAATATATACGTACCTATCAATATGTATGTACTATCAATTCTGTACCAGGTACAGGGTACAGAAAGATGGAAAGGCTGCTCTTTGAAGGAAAAAAAAATCAAACATATATAGCAATAAATATTTCAGTTTCAAATCTTTTGAGGAAACATCAGTGGGAAAGAAAATCAGATCTGAGAGGTCTTTTCCTCCTCTCATATTTTAGCGTTCTGACACTATTACACTGCTGGGCCTTGTCATTCATAGCGCTTTTGCAATATTGGTTTTTATTTCTGGAATGCACTTCTAACAGTACAACTTTCAAAGCAAAACAGTTTGCCATAAAGGATTTCATCAGGGCTGATGGATTAGATGCATGCTGCTAACAGAGATTGCAGACTTAGAGGAGAAACCCATGTTATCAGTTTGAACCAGATCTTTTCCTTTGTGTAAAAATATTGCTATAACCATGGTAATGCATGGTGTCAGCAACGTACTTTCACATGGGCTGTTAATAATGATATCCCCTATTTTTCATCTTTATTCATTAGAGAACATCAGAAGAATGAGATTTTTTAGTACAGTCAGTTTCTGGGCCAGCAACTTTTGAACTATGAACTGTATGCTGGAAGATGCAATCAAAATCAACTTCCTTTTTAGTTTGCACATTTTATTACGTTCCCTCTTACCACAGGTGAAGAAAGTGAAATACAACCTGGTGAATCTAAGCAAAAATGCTGATGTTGGTGTGGTGTCAATTCACCTAGAATATCTTCTGGGAGTGCTTTCCATGGTCTCCTGTTGACTTGTTAGAATAACTCCGTGATTTGGATTTAATCAGTTAGAAGAGTGTTAAGGCACTGTTAAAGATAGTGTTTTGGAAACCTACGTTAAAAGAAAATGTTTACATTGAGTATTTAGGAATGCATCTAAGCAGTTTCAGAATATTTTTGTATAACACTTTGTACATCTTCAACACAGCAAGTGAGAAAAAGCAGGTAGAATGCAGGTCAGTGCTTTTAGCTGTAAACAGATCTCCATGCAAAGAATGGTGGGAAAGAAACTAGCTACTAAAATCACTAATAAAAGCTAAGTGCTTTATGTTTTCCTAGGAAAGCTTAGAGATGCTGGAAAAATGAAGGCCAGAAGGTTTAGTTTATAGCAGTTGAACCAAAACTAATGATAGTTGCAAATTTGCTTTTCATTGACTTCATAGCAAGAAATCATAGTAGACTTGTGTCTTTCAGCAGGATCTTAAGAGTAAATGTTGAAAGAAGTGCATGGAGATTTTCTCTGCACAACTCAAATACCAGGGAGTTCTGCAGCTAGGAAGTCCCACTCAAAACTTGGACATTATATACATGAGTTTTCATGAATTAATTCAGGTAAAGTTGGCCCAGGCGTGGAAGGAAGCATTTTAAAATGGAAAAAAAAAAGTAAAATGGCTTCTCATGTAGAAAAAAAGTGATCTAAAAGCTACATTTCATAGAAGTAGAAAACCGATGGTTAGGAGAAGTATCGTGATTGCCGTGTTTACATCATAAAATGAATGGATCTCTTTTCCAGAGCTTGTTTTGGAATTTGGATTGAACAATTGCTTAGCTCTGATCACTTTTATTTCGTTCCACAAGCTCTGATTTAGAAGCCACGTTACCCTGCACAATCAGGCTGTAAAATTTTCAGTTCAATCGGAAAATAAATTTTAAATATTAAGATTTGGCCTCATGTTCCCTCACAATAAATACAATAAGTTTTTTGTTTGCTTGCTTGTTTTATTCTGACCAGACTATTTAAATTCCTCATCAGTTCCCTGTCTATTTCTCCTGCTCTCCCTGATAACTGCCTCTAATTTGAAAAAGTAATCACTTTATTTTACCTTATTTAACTTCTTTCAGATTTCCAGGCTTTCGGTCTGAAGAAAGGAATGTTTTTCAATCCAGATCCTTATCTGAAGATTTCCATCCAGCCTGGGAAACACAGCATCTTCCCAGCACTTCCTCATCATGGACAGGAGAAAAGATCTAAGATCATGTGCAATACAGTTAACCCAATCTGGCAAGGGGAGGTAAGCAGTTGAGCCAAGACTTAAAACATGGAAACAACTTTGGCTATGGATTCTTTTCTTTAAGCTTTTTCTTATCTGTAAGTTTTTCCTTATCTAAATAGTTGTTGATCTAACCAAGTTTGATGTGTTTCATGGTTTCTTATCAGTACTTAAGGCTTAAATAGCTACAAATCAAAGTCAAAACTTTCAGTATGGGTTGTTCTCTGTGGATATCGTTTATGAAGTTAATTATGGAAGGCAAATGTAACCCAGAATTGAAAAATATATTCTAATAATGTGAAAGATTGCTGCTAGATTGTCATAGTGTTCTTATACAGAGAGGAAACATTATATAAAGTAAAATAGTATAGCATGCAAATAAAAATAATCTGTGTTTGAAAAATGTTACTGGTAGTATAAATTAAAATCAACCTTGGCACATTTGCCTATCACCTTGAAGAAATGCTCTCTAGTCTGCTGCTTGTTGTTGGAAGGGCTTCATGGGCATTAATGAGATCTTAGAGTTCAGTTGCTCCCTGCTGTTTTTAAATTACACCCAAAATGATAGCAATGAATAAGGAATCTCTGGAATTAAAGGAACCTGACATTAAGAGTTTGATGTACTGCTATTCTCTTTCAGACCAGTATCTTCACTGCAGGAAAGAGTAGAAGTAAATAAATAGACTAAATTTATTCAAATTAAAATGTAAATTGCAGAGTAGCTTAGGAATAATTAGGTCAAACTGCATAGGAATGAAAGTTAGAGTGGGGAAGGAGATGAAAGAATTGTCACTGAATACTCCTCCGTTGAGGAGGATGAATTTAAATTAAGTATTGCATCAGGTTGTGCTACAGGTGAACTTTTGTTGGGGAGGAGATGACACCTCAAAGCTAGTCTGAGAGAAAATGCCTTCTACAGGACTTGCTTAAGTGGAAGGCCCTGTTGTGAGGCATCCACCAAGCAATATCTTCTTTCCTGCCCTAAGCAACAGATGTGTCTGGCAGAGGGGTCCCAGGCCAGAGTTGCTGGAACTGGAGGTCAATGGCAGAAATGTTTCAGTAAAGTGCATAAGACACCAGTCTAGAGGTAAGCAGGCATAAAAAGGAAACTTGCTTCATTATGTGACACATATGGTGCATGTGATTGTGGGAGTTTATAGAAAGCATGAATGCCAGAAATTGATGCTCAAAGGACATAGGATGTGCCTGTGATCTTGCTGTTCACTGTTGGCCAGACTGAACTGCTGAGGTGACACAAGCTGTTCACGTTAGAAAAGGGACATAAGCTGTACTGATGGAGGCTGAAAATAATCTTTTTAGAAGTGCTCAATACTGGTTGGAAGTCTTCTTTTTTCAAAAACAACTTCCAGCCAAAGTAATGTGCTCTCACTTCAAGGTCTTTTTGCACTGCCAGGGGATAAAATAACCACGAAGAAAGAATGTGGCTCTGATTAAATGTCAAGGGTCATAAGATATGCTTGAGTTTGTGAGCTGACATTTCGTTTCCAAAGAGTTTGTCAGAAATAAAAGGAGAAACAATGAAATAACCTAATAAAGGGTGTAGGAAAGGAAAAACACAGCTGAATTCTACCTTCTCTGCTCTCCGTCTGGTTTTCTTGATTGTGTGCAACCATGTAGCTTCTTCCTTTCTGTTGTTAGCTTTTTAGCCCGTAAGGAGTCTACAACAGCAGAGATGTCATTCAACACACTATCCATCATTTTCTTTGGCTGGTGTGGAAATGTTTAACTGCTTGTGCTTGGCTTGCAGTTTACACACATCAGCTGCTCTGAAGTTTTTGTTACAAAAACCCATACTGGCATATCTGTAACAGACGTTCCTAGGCTTCTTCAATTTTATCCTTTTATACAAGAGAAGGAGAACTACAAACAACTGTCAAATTGTGGTGGTAGCTATTTTTCCATCCACCTTTTTCACAACACTGGTGGATGTGAACACTTGAAATGAAAAATTGTGAGAAATCATAGTTATTTCATTAACTGCTTCCATCACAAGTCATTTTTCCCCAATATACTTTGGATGATGTATTACTTCAGAATTGTGATTCTTTCCTAAGGTTCTCCATCATAGCTCATGTAAACAGAAGCTAGAAGACCTTTTTCAGTTTCTTTCTCTTATCTAATTAGTTTTGGCTCCTAAACTTGACAAATTCTGAAACAGGGAAATAAAACTTTAGAAATAACTACAAGCTGTTATATTTGTGTATGTTCTTGATTACCCTGGAGCAAATTCAGAAATGAAAGTGTTGTCTTAATTTTGTAGGACTTCACCATCAAAATAAAATCCTACAAAGCAAAAGAAGATGTTTCATTTACTTACATTCATTATTCATTTTGCTATTCCACCTCATATACTTATCAAATTGTTCTATTTGCATAGTAACCACCTGCATTAAAAGAATACTCCAAGAGCACTGTGATACCTCAGGCAATATTTCCTCAATGTCGTGTAATATTAATGATCTTCATTTCACAAGCTATTCAGACATTTTTCGACACTAGTAGCCCTGAATTAAAGCTATCCTTCTATTGCACTGTTTCATTGTCCTTTACACAGGAAGGCATAACCAGATGTAAATTTCTTACTAAGAGTTGAGTTGTTTTTAACATTTTGACACTTGTAGCAATACTCAAGTGAAAGTGAGGTGGAAGCCTTCAATGAGAGCTGATCAGTGAAGCAGGTTTAAAACCATGTGGCGTCTTACAGTGGTTGAGAGGAGTCCTTCTGTGATGTTTCTGTGTTTTCCCATATGGAAGCATAACATCCAATTCTGCTAAGCCAAAGTGCTGAATATTGTAGTGTGCAATGACAAAAGCTAGTAAATATTCAAAGGAAGGTCCAGACTAGTTACTGATTGTGCCACAGTGTCTGTACAGTCAGTGATGAGAAGAAAGCAACTGTAGAAAATAAAAACAAGTTCCTTTCATACAGAGAACTTACTGCTGATTCACAGTTTATGGTCCAGCTTCTTTCCATACTCCTTGCTCTACTTTCATCGTGGTGCATTCTTTAACAATATCTGTACTGGTAAACAATATAGATCTGTTAACATAGATGAGGTTCTGAAAAACAGCTGACCTGACACATTACATAGATGCACATTGCATCTATGTAATTCCTCTGCTATCCTCTAAAACATGTTGGGTGTATCCCAACAACCTGTTAGGGATGCTCTCTTACCTGTAGAAGCCCCATCCCACTTGTAGCAATTGGTTGGCGCAAGGCAAAACAATTGCCAGTGACTGTCGACAGTTGTCGGCAATGCATGGCTCTGTGGCTGTATTTAGAATATTGATAATAAGATTCTTGGTACTGACTATAGCATTTATCTCAGCCTTTTCCCCATGTCTGGTCTTAAGTGTCAGACTGGACCAGTTCTATCACATCAGATACTCATTCATCAGGCACAGGTAGGAGGTACCCCTAACCTGTCAAGACTACTACTTGCCATCCATTACAGGCTATAGACAATTGAGGGGAGAAAAGATGTCAGCTGCAGGTGAAGGTGGTGGTGTGGATACATTTTAGATGTCAATGAATAAGAGCAAACAATACAAAGAGCAGGGATCAGAAGCCAGCAAGGTTGTTGTGTTGCTGACCTACATAATGGTTTGTAGGGTTGTTGCCCCACAACCTCTTTGGCTTTGCTTTTCCATCTGCAACATAGCCTAGCTTCAGGAAAGACCTCCCAGAGTAATTTATAGCTTGCACTTTGTCTTTTTAAACTTAATCTACTGGGAAGAAACCACAGTATGGAAGGTATCTTTGCTATCCAGAAGCAAAATTTTGCATGTTGGACAATGAAAATGACTGTGACTACTCTGCTTTTTATCCATGTGTGCTGATATCGCCAAGGTCAGGAGTTGCCCAACATTTTAGTCTGGGAAGAGAGGGATCTGGGGAGACCTCAGTGCAGCATTCCAGTACCAAGGAGAGCTTATAAAAAAGTAGGAGACTACTTTTTACATGAGCAAATGGTAGTAGAAAAAGGAGGAATTGCATTCAATTAGAAGAGAGGAGATTTAGATTAGATGTTAGGAGGATTTTTCTTTACTCACAAGGTGGTGAGATACTGAAACAGGTCACCCAGGAATGTTGTGGATGCCCCATCCCTGGTGGCATTCAAGGCCAGGTTGGATAGGGCCCTTGGCAGCCTGATCTATTGGCTGGTGACACTGCTCATGGCAGGGAGATTAGTGCTAGATGATCCTTAAGGTCTCTTCTAACCCAAACCATCCTATGATTCTGTGTCATCCATTTGACTTCAGTAGCGCTTGTTTGTATCAGAAATATTTTGAAGTCAGAGTCACCTAATGGCCACTTATATAGAGAGGTTGCTCCAAAAGTAACCCTATTTTCAATGTTATCACCACTATGAGCAATGCATTTTTGCCAGTGTTGAACAAAAGCCCACGCACTGCATTTGTAAAAACCTGCACCAGCAGAGATGACCCACTGTCAGCACTGCCGAAATGCATCACCCAGCACCTCACTGTGCTCACATCCACTGTTGGTTGCTGAATAAACATTCAGCAGGCATCAGTGGGTGTCAGTCTTTTCTGCCCGGAAAAATGCAATTCCACACCTGTATTTTACATACTCTTCCATGTCAGATGCCAGTTTCTCAGATGCCCCTCTGCTACTATCTGTCACACAGCAACAAAATGTGACGGAATATTGATAGGAAGGTTCAGTTTCTACAGCTGTACCACCAAAATCCACCACTGATGTTGTGGGCCGTTAGAAGGGATTTTGGAGCAGCCCACCAGATTTGCTAACAGTTCACTTAATTGCAAGGTCATAGTGAGCGAGTTGTCTTAGCATGCTATTTTGGAGTAAAACGTAAATAAATCTCTTCAGGAAGTGTTCTTTTGTCAGATCTTCTGTTCATCTAGTAGAACTGAGGAAGGTGAATGTTCATCACCTTTCTTCTAATACTGCTGTTAAAAGAATAATGACACTATTCACATATTGTTTCATGTTGAGACCGTGCATTTTCTGT